TATAGCCAAAAAGAAAGTAGGTCACACAATAGCTGCCTAACTTGATTGCCTAGAATCTCTAGCAGTGTGTTCTCCTCTCTCGCCTGGCACAACCTGCAAATAGGGGGGACCCACACACTTGGGCAAGCAGACACTCCAGTTTGGGGTGGAGCACTAACCCCTTGCTTTGGCATTTAAACAAGTGCCTGGTTTTCCTCCTCCTGAATTCAAACGGATGATCCAGGGATGCATTATCACCCCAAATACAGATTCAAACTTTCCCTCCCACCCTGGAACAGCCTCTCTCGGCTGGCTGGATCGCCCTTGGGACTGGATATCTTTCTACTGACACTACTACACCATTTCGCTCCACCCTCCACCCCTCCGTGAATCAAAATACAGATGCTTGGCTCCCCGGCAACCCTGCTTTCTGCAGCAATTGACTGGTAGCCTCTCTACATCTCAGCTGGGAGGTGTGATTGAGCTACGTGCATCAACAGTGATTTCCTTCCTAACCATCAACCTAATGTATCGGGACTCTTTGTTGCTTTTTACATCTACCTAATGGCATTCATGTGCAGGACTGTTTTTGAAACTCAGCTTCATGGGGCTACGTTTGACTCTGTGACCTCCTTCTATGAGCCCACCGCTACAAAGTATGTGGTGGGAACACCTTTCACTGCCAGAAACCGACCAGTCACGCTCCACTAACACAGCTCTACGCAGACCCTAATAATCCGTGGCCAATAAGAGATCTCAGCACTCTGTGGACCAGTGTGTAAATCCTTTCATTATCAAGAACTAGTAACAAATTAAACACGCAGTCTAGACTTCTTCTATCTGCTTCATTCAGATTCTGAGACCGTATCCACCGCCGCAGTATCCAAATGCCTCCAGCTCTTACAAATGTGACAACGTTCCTCCTCTGCCTTGATGGGTCCTGCGCTTTCCTACACTAACCTCAGAGGTTCACGGCAGCCCTCAGTTTGGCCGCTTTTGCTAGAGGCTCAAACTTGCCGTTCACTCAGCTAACCTCATCACTGGCCAGCATGGGGGAAACGGAGGACAATCTCCACAGTCTCTGTTGTCCCACCTAGTGGGTTGGGGACCGGCCAGATCCCCAACCTTCCCTTCTGGTGTGTCTCACAGACCAGGTCAACTCCTCCTGTGTCAGATAGGGAGTTGGGGGGATGGGGAGAACCCGGGCCCACCCTCTACACCGGGTTCCAGCCCAGGGCCCTGTGGATAGCAGCTGTCTACAACGTCTCCTGTACAGCTACAACTACCTGGGCTACTTCCCCATGGCCTCCCCCCAGCACTTTCTTTATCTTCACCGCAGGACCTTCCTTCTGAAGCCTGATAACGCTTGTACTCCTCAGTCCTCCAGCAGCATGCCTTCTCACTCCCTGCTCCTTGCGTGCCCCCCACTAACTGATGGGAAGTCCTTTTTAATCCAGGTGTCCTGATTAGCCTGCCTGCCATAATTTATTCTAGTAAATTCTTAATTGTCTCCAGGTGTCTTAATTAGCTGCCTGTCTTAATTGGTTCTAGCTGGTTCTTGATTGCTCTATGGCAGCCCCTGCTCTGGTCACTCAGGGAACAGAAAACTATTCATCCAGTGGCCAGTATATTTGCCTTCTACCAGACTCCTGCACCCAACTGGTCTGGGTCTGTCACACATATTTGTTTTGCTCTTCACTGAGTTACCTTCAGTTTGTCAACCTCTCCCTGGTACTGAGCCCCCAAGGGAGTTAAATGCACACCCGAGAAAGGCAGCCCTGGGAAGTGGGGGGAGAGGCTGAATCTCCTGGTAGCTGCCTGAAGGAGGATCTGGGAGATCCCTATTCAGAGCAGCTGCAGCAGAAGAGGGGAGCTGAATAAACACAACCCAAACCCTTGTCCTGTGTGTTACGAGAGCGCCAATTGCAAGACTGATTTGATTCATATGTATGCGCACGTAGAATCCCACACATGTTCTGTTCCCTCCTCTAGAGGCTGCACTACTGCACTCCCCAACAGCTGACGAGTGATCTCAGTTCACAGCGCGAGGCTGGCAGCCTGCCGGGCCTTCTATTTAAAAAAAAGGTTGATTATTTATTTACATTTTTTACCATTAAAATGTGTCCTCACGTTATTCTCTCTTCTCTTTTGGGGGATCCCATGTTGAAGCACATCCCAGCTGTCACGTGGATATTAACAGAGCTACATGTGGAAGAAGTGTGTTATTTAGTCATCTGGAGTCAGGCTTGACCTCCGTTTGATCCACACCTGTTTTGAACAAGCACGTGCTATTGCGAAGGTTCATAGCAAAACCAAAGCCAGGTTTTGGGCAGGAATGAATATTCGCAGTATTGGGGCATGAACTGCAGAACAAAGTGAAACCACAAACTAAGAACTGAAGCCAAGCCGTCATGCTCAGCTGCTTCCAGTTCATTGTTACCATTTGCTCTCAAGGGCACATTTAAACTCACATTGTTCTTCACATTCTTTTCAGCACCAGCCACTGGACAGTTCAGTGACCCCAGCAGCCCCAAGCAAGCTGGACAGGCAGTATTGTCACTCAGTGCTGTTTGAATCATGGGGTCATGGCACTTCCAACAGATGACACTGTTCCAGGGACAGTCCAGCTCTGCCTGCCCCTCCTGCTGCAAAAATCCAAGCACTGCATTTATACCTTCCACTGTGCACCCAACAAGTACACTGAAAGAGTGATCCCTAGGATTGGAACAACCTTCCCGAGCCATCAGGCCATGACGGCACTCTGTCTTCTCTCCAGTCCCTTCTCAGATCATCAGTATAATGTGTCAGTTATCCAGCTAACCATCAGACTGTGAAACAAAGACAATGAACCAATCCACCCTGCCCCCAAACCAATCCAACCCAATGTGCTCAAAACCCCACCCAACAAGCTACACCTTCCCCAACATTGGTGAGAAAAAGCTTACTCCCCTAAGTGACTGCATGATCCTGTGGTCCTCATCTTGGTCTTCCCACTCCCTGGTGTTGTCGTCTTAACCTAAAGCCTAAGCAATTCAGGTGGGGATTTTGGCCAAGATTCTCCAAAGTGACTAGTTATGTTGAGTGCACAACTGGAGAGGACTTAAAGAGGGTCAAGAGTTTTCAGGAAGTGCTTACGCGGCTGCCCCCTGAAACCCAGGTCCGTTTAGGTCGTCTCAAGGTAGGCATGAACATTGTTTAAAATCTTGGCCTCTCTCTCTTTATACAGTTCCACACAGCATCATGCATATCTAGGTGTTTATGAGTTATAAAGAATTACCTCGCCAAAGTAATTGCTTTACCTCTGAGTAGTGCCCAGGGTATGTAATCTTTAAAAGTCAGGCACCTGGAGTTCTGCAGCTCACAGTGAATTCAAAGGACTCTCAATTCAAAACAATTAGCAGCTAGTCACTTTCCTTTTATGCAGAATCAGCCATTAAACCCAACACCTAGAATGAATGTGCTTCATTATCTACAAAAGGGCCCAATTTTCTAATGTCAATGCAAAGCACCCAGCCAGATTCATTTCTCCTTCGATCCCAATTGCAGGCAGTGGCCATGTTTAATGAATTAGCAGTCCAGGAGAGTTACACACTGTCAGCAATTCCAACACGCCCTTTTATTAAAATTTGCTGCCGCGTTAAAATTCTACAGATTCAGTGCTGATTTGTGTCAATCTCCCTTCCATTTGCCTTGCCCCGTTTAAAGTGTTCAACACAGATCACATGGTCCTTTAAATACCCCCTTCGCCCTTAGGCTCTCTAAGTCTGTTTTGCATAATCACACTCACGGTTAGCACTGGATTCCCCAAGTGCAAGGGATTGGGAACTTGGCACAGCTAAAGCCACAGGCCCTGCCCTGCACCGCGGTTCTTCAGAAAGCAAAGAAAGGGCAAACTCGTTGCACTAATGCAAGGTTTTTCTCAACGTTTCCAGGCTGATGATCCCTTATTCAAAGTCAAAAATGTCCGCAATACCCTCACATTTACCGCAGCAGAGTAAAAACACACAAGAGTTACGACCACAGTAAGCCGAGATAATGTATCTATGTGTTTTGAGAGGCTGAAAGAGAGTCCTTGACCTTGAAGGGTAAGGGTGTGGGCGAAGGGGGGAGGTTTCCTTTGCTTGATTGTGTTTCAATGTTAAAGGTCTCACGTTCCCCACCGGGGGTCGCGACCAAACACTGCCCTACAGGAGCAGCAGTGAGCTCACAGGGAACCCCGCACACCAGACAGGTGCAGACTGCTGGCGATAACCTCTCAGATAACCCCGGCGATACCAACGTGCTCTGCAGATGGCATGGGCCAACAGTTTCAAACATGAGACCAATGGGCGCTGCAGGCGCTAGGCCCCTCTGGGAAGCAGGCCACTTCCATAGAGGTGCCTAAATATGGGATTTGGATGTCTGGGGCACCCAAGTTTGAACATGTCAGACTCAATACTGTGCTTACAAGCTACGCAGAAAGGCGACCATCATTGGGGGGGCAAGGGGGCAGCCAAGAAAGCACACCCCCCCCCAGCACATCCAGCCATGGGAGGGGAGTTTCTAAGGGATCATCCTACAGGTCAGCATACAGTAATTCAAGAACCCAATTTACCCCAGGAGGATGTTATGCTGAGTGGTTCCTGTTGGTTGATCGCGTCAGGTTCCAGGGCATCCTTGTAGGTATTTCAAATCCCCAGCTTATCCCCATTAAACCCTCACCCCTTCCAGCAATAGAACATGCAACAAAGAGCCACACTACATAATTAACACCCTTTGCTCTGGCTGTCAACATCCACCAACCGTCATCTCTCGCAATTTCCACAAGAGATCACATGGCAGGTAGGCCACTTGCATGTGCTGCTGGCTGAAATCCAGATTGCCCCCCCCCCACTGGCCTGGCCCCGGTCAATTGTTACAAGCAGTCATTTCCTGATGATAATACAGGCGAAACTAGTTGAGTAGGGAGTGCATATGCACAGCACAACTGCCATGTTAATACCTCAGTCAGTTCAGCAAGCGCTGGTCGGTACGTGACTTACCCTGTTCTCATCATAGATTATCTGCACTAAGCTGCGGTGCTTGGACTCAATAGGCGGGGGTGACATCGGTTTCTCAGGCTCTGGTGGTTTGGCTGCTTCCTCCTCCAACTGTTGCTGTGAAAGGTTGAAAAGAAGAGGGGGGGGGGGAAGAGTGAGTGGTTCAAAAAAGGAAACACTCTGCCCATATGAGACTCTCTCTCTCTCCAGCACTGTGACAGATATAGAAAATGTAACCATGAACCATTTCCCGTGAGACATCAGCAAGACAAAGGGGCTAACAGAGGGGAGGGGAGAATAACCCTTTAACATTTCCTGTTGCCTCAGCCAGGGTGTTTTCTGGCCACAAACTGGGTAAAGTGTCCCTCTTAGATCTGGCCTGTGGATCTCGACGACAGATGCGATGCATAAAAAATAGCGGAATGAAAATTCCATGGAGGAAAAACATTTCTCAGAGCAGCAAAGTTCCTTGTTTATGTCTTAATTTGGAGCTGCACTGTTTGCCACTCTCGTGTTTAAAGGGGGGCGGGGAGATGAGGGGTTATTGGACTCTTTTGGTTTAATATCCCACTACTGAGTTCCTAGTTCTTCACTTGAACGAGATGCCTTCTGTGGCTACGTCTTATTATTCTTTTTCTATTTACAACAGTGCCTCGGATCCTCAGTCAAGCATGAGGGCTCCCTTGTGCTAAGCGCCGGACAGCCAAGTCTCAAAGACAAAGCGTCAAAGAGAGCTCACAGGACACTGCAGGCAGATGAAATGGACAAACAGGGTGGGGAGGACGAGGTAACACCGGGGTGAACCGAGTTTAGCAGAAAGGCAGAAGTCGCAGCTCTCCTGCCCAGTGCCAGATGGGAGTGAGCCGCAGGCATCCCAGCAGAGGCAGAATGTAAGGGGGGAGGGGAGGTTCAGCCAATCAGGAGATGGGAGCTGTAGGGATCTCAATGGGGAGTACGTCCCATGCATGAAGGGCAGCATCATTAGACAGGGCAGAGATGCAGGCAGGAAGTGGGCAGGTAGGCCAGAGACAAATCTCACTACTGTATGTATTAGATATTACTAAGGAGCCCAGAGGCAGGGTGTCAATCATCATTAGGGGGCTGCTTCTCATGGTCAAACGGCCCCACACACTTACTGGAATATCGGCGCCTCATACAATTCTAGGAACATCAGACTGACCCAGGAGCTGCTGCTAAGGGCATCAGCACAAGCAGCACAAGCCATTCTCTTCAGGGCATCTACAGACCAACGGCCTGTCTCAGGAAGGTCGTTTTCAAATCCCCTTTTCCATGTTAAATAAAACGAAGGAAATTTATCAGAATCTGGTAAAAACTCAACACCCCAATAGCTGCAAACTAGCCAGCACTGAGCAAGGGGCCAGCGTCCAGTTCAGACTCCCCTGCCCTGGGAGACAGATTGCAATGAACGGACATCTCTTCCTCTGTGGGCCTACATAGAAAAGGGGCGTGTGGCGGTTCCCTTAGTTCTGAGTCACAGCCTTACCCTGGCTGTACAGGTGAGGTACCCAACTCCACCTGCTGAGGGCCATCGGGGCAACCAGCCGGAGCCCAAAAGCCACACCCAAGTTTCCAGACATGTCCACAGCTTTTACCAACAGCAAAATGAGGATAACCCTGATAGTCACTTAGACGTGACTGCTCAGAAGATGAAGTGAAGCAGCTGCTTGTTTGAGCTCAGCAGTGTAAAAGCCTGCCCTTGATCACGTCCTGCAGAGACAGGCAGAGAGTGGCCAGGATTCCACGGGTGGCACTTGGCCTTTGGGCAGCCCTGCTGTGGAGCGGATGCACCTTGGAGAGCGCTAGAGAAAAATTAACTCTGGCACAGCATAAAATCCAACGGATACAAAACGAGGGCTGAAATGCTGCACCGTGAAGAGACGGGAGGTAGGAAGGCACCTAGGCAGGCTACACAACACAATGCAAGAGATTTCCTCCTGCTCCAATAGCGTCTCATCTATTGTCATCAGAAACACTGAATCACACTGATCCTAGAGGAGCCTCAGATTTCTAAACATACAACTTCAGCCCTCTCTGGACTGACATTTCAGCCGCTGGTGCCACTGCAGCAATGCAAACCCCTTCACACCAGTGCAATGCAGTCTGCATGCCTGGGTGCAAATCGTTCTGCATTGATGCAAATGGTATCTATGCTATGGGTTCACACTGGGGCAATTCTGAAGTCTCAGCATAGGCAAAGCCTCTGTCTCCCAATAGTAACAAGATGCGTGTGCACGCATGTGCATGCTCAAGTGTGTTTCACGAACGTTAGTCAGTGCGTGATGCTGTACAGCACATCCGCCATGGCCTGAGAAGCATTTGGGATTGTAACTGTTTCACTTTTAAAAGCAAACTTTAAAATATTCCCAACATCCCAAGGAACTGCAGCCTGCCAGACGACGTACTGTATGTACAATCTCATCCTGGGTCATTATTGTCCTCGTAACCAGTACGAAGTTAAGAGAAATGCCAAAATCTTTTCAACCGGCTGGAGGAACCGCACAGATGAAAGAAGGAATAACCAGGAGACCCTGAAGGAGAACTTGTTACTCATGTTATGTGAAGGGTGTGGTAAAACGGGAGAGTGAAATTGTGAAAATTTGTGCAATTTAGATTAATTTGCAAATGACTCATCGGAAATGCTGCTCCCGAACCAACAGGACGGTTTTCATACTTGGAAACCTAAAAAAAGAGTGCGTTGTGCAAAGACTCAGAAGTGAATCTGGAAGAGGCTTTGAGGATGTTAATTTAACTAAAATAAAAATAGCAATATGGGTCATGCAGAAGCACGAGGGGCAACTATCAGGAATCAGGCATGGTGATTTTTTGGGAAGCTCTGCAGGAAAGGGCTTCTCCACCGACTTCAAAGGGCTTGGCATCAAACCCTAGCGCCCTTAATTGTGTCCTGTCCATCCACCTAATTTCACACCTGATCTTTCAATCCTGACCAAATATAAAGCACCATCAATACAATAAAAACAGCAACCCCCAACTATCCCTATCCTCTGACCCACCCCGCTGCCCCAAAGCCAGAGGAAAGATGTATTATGCCTTGCAGTTTGATCTCAAGACCCAATAACCGAGGCATCTGAAGGACAAAGCGTGGGTTCGATATTCCCTTTTGGGAATATGCCCCACTGCTGGTCCCCTCCTTTTTAAACCAGGGGACCACTGGCTCAAGTGTCTCCACTGATCCCAACTCTGGCAGCATCCATGGAGAGAGAAGTGATTCCCCAACACGACGAGGTAAGGCGCCTAAAGCTTAACAGGTCAGGACCAACGTGTTCAACTCCACCTGGGAGCTAATCAGCAGCCTGTGTCTTGATGAACTCCTTTCCCCTGGGTTTACAGTGCACTCCTAGTTCTTTGTTCAACTAGAACCGCTTCCAAACAGAGCTGGATCCAAGCAGCAAAGGTCCAATCCAGATCAGAACTTTCCCAGTGTCTACAAGTGTTAGCTCCAGGGTTTGGTTCGAGGAACGAAATGCATGCATTATTCTCATAATAGAAAAGATGCCCTTTACAGTCCCCCAAACTACAAAATCCAGGAATTCGAAACAAGAGCCCCAGATTATCAACAACAAAACAAAACCCCAATTTCTATCAGGGAAAGGATTTGGGTAAAATCTCTAGAAACTTTGATAGGTATTCTGGCAGCCCACAAAAAAGTTTCCCAAGTGGTCAAATCTGTTCCAGTTGGTTTAAGACAGAAGATTTGATGGTAAATCAAGAAATGAATGTTTCCAGTAAGTAGAGGCTCATTAAAAGCAGCTCCTTAAAAGCAAAACCACCACGCCTGCAAATCTAATTATAGCTGAAATACAGTGAAGAATTACAGTCTCTCTACTCTCCATGGGTGTAATATTGTACAATTATCAAAGGTGCAGGCCCACCAATTACAGTATACGGACTAGGGGTTACTTCCCCTCTGTGCTCGCTGAGATTACAAAGATGACCTCAGTAGGTTTAGCCAGCAACCGCTTCCCTTGGAATTTGTGGGAAATGGCAAAGCAAAATAGGTCAAGGTACTCAGACATGAACAAAGACGGATCTTAAAGGTCTGCCACAAAAAAACAGGCAGGGACGGTGACCTTTACAATCAGAAAATCAGGATGAGTCTTGACGGTGACACGCCAACCCTCTGCTAGCCTGCAACTTCCCTCTTTTCTTCTAAAATGAAAATCCCATTGCAGTGACTTCAAGGCAACGCAAAGCCCTGTCATTCGTGACAGTGTAAGCTTCCCTCTCCTCCTAAGGCCAATCAGTTTCTAAATGAAGGCAGCACCTCTTTCTCTTCCCCAACGACAATGGTATGGTAATAACAATACTTAATCTGTAATACATATGGCAGCAAGCATAGATCCCTCCTGTTCGATCAAGTTGCATGAGGTGTGAGCTGAAATAGCTTTGACTGTATCTGGCTTTTCCAGTCTTCTGTGAATCTAGCCAGTCTTTGGCATGGTTGCCCTTATTCAGAGGTAGATATCATTTAAATGTTCATGTTTAATCCAGGCACGTGCTAGTTCCTGGGCAGAAATCACCAGTGATTAGTCTACAGACATGGCAACTTAAACAGAAAGAAACAGGGTTTCCAACTCAGGAAATCTATTTCTAAAAATTATTCTAAGAAAAAGAGGCTGAGATACAGCAGATAAAATTCAGTTGCAGGAATTGTTCTTTAACATGATAAACCTACCTGGCAGATTTGGCAAATAGGCCAAGTCTTGGGTTCCCCGATGGTGCTGCAAAGCTACAGGCCACCACCGGCTCCACCTTTGCCAGCAGGTGTCAGTGTTGCACTTCCGATAAGCCTTCTGGGGACGGCTTAGAATATATTTGCAAAGAAAGAAAATCCCACCCATTGGGGGAGGGGGGGTCAAGATCCGTGGTACCATGGCCAGGAATAACTGCATGGAGATTATCCTTCCTGGTCATGCAAGGGAAGGCTAGTGGGAGAAGTGACAGAGATTTAACACATATGAAAAAGAAGTGGCACGTGAATTAAGCTGGGGAGGAGCAGCTGGACAAAGAAGCTCACGGGTGCGTTGGATTTCAGGAAAGAAAAGCTCCTGGGCTGCTAAAGACTTGGCTTCATCAAAACCCCTCCTGCCAGCCAAGCCCAGCGAGAGCCTTCAGGGCCATTTTTGTAACTACCAAAGAGACACTGTTGCTGCACAGGTTTTGCGTACAAATGTATTTAATTATCTCTAAGACCTCCCAAGGACAGAGGGAAAATGCATTGAGACGTTAGGGCTTCGTACAACTGCTCTACTGTTTGCTCAAGGAAGATCTGGCTAATATCTTTTGTTTTCTCTCTCTCTCTCGTGTTCTTTAAAAGTCAATGGCACAGATGCCCAGATGGACCAAATGTTCTCGAAGTATTACAGATAGGAACTTTTCTGCTCTCTCTTTTTCCCCCCGCACCTCTCAAATATTTTCTCTTGCACTGAATCCTAAAAGGCCAGATGTACCGAACTTTCTTAAGGAGAGGGAAGGCCACGGTCAATATCGGTAACTGATCGCACATCAAGCTACAGAACCACATGCAAAGAAAAGGGAGGAGGGGATTTATCTGTCAGCAGCTACTTTTGCCACGTTCATAACTAATCTGAGCATTTGCAGAGGATTTATAAAATCAGTGTCCGGGGGAGAAAACGAGACAAACAACAAAAGCCTTTTCTTTCCAGGAGGACGGCCTGGTTTTGAAAGGTGCTAAGTACCTGCAGCTCCCTTAACTTCAATCTGTGGGTACCCAGCAGCTCTGGAAAAGCCAGGTTGCAGAGCTGCCTGTTATGAGACACTGGTCCCCACAGCTACTGTGCATTAGTCCTCCAACTCCCCCAGGGGAAGATGATAATCTCGTTGTGCTTTCCCAGAGTCACTGACTTCAGACCAAGTTTCCACTAGAAAACAAGCCAAGCTCCCCAGCAAGGCTTCACTGGTGACCTGGCTTGCACAGGCCTGGAAGCCCTGTGCCCTTGGTAAAGCCTGGGGGCTCAATGAGCACTAAGGCTCTAACTAAGTGGAGCCTGTTGATCTCAATAGGCTAAATCCCCCTTCACTGCAAACTGACCTGGTGATGGACACTGGTAGCGTGTTGAGGTCGCCGGACCAAAGGTTCCTTGGGAGCTTTTTGGAGCAAGGGCATTTCTTTAAAAGGAACGGTAATGAACACAGGGTTGGTGCAAAGTGCCAGCTTCTTTCCTGAGACTGGTGCGTGGAGGCAGCCCAGCCAGAGAAGGGGCACCACCCCTGCAGCTGAAGGAGGCACCTAGTGCATAGTGCCACACTGCAGTCAGTTTGGGTCACTCTGCAAGGCGAAGCAGGCAGAAAGGCCACCAGGACCAGGCAGTGTGCAAGGAAATCTTATGGCTCCCATTCCAATTTCTCTCCCAGGCCTCAGTGAAGGGGGCATGGCCGCAAAGCTGATGCTGCTGGCTGATGCCCCAGCTGCCAGGACAGCCCCTTGGAGCATAGGGAGCCAGGCATAAGAGGGACAGGAAGCCTGCTCTCATATCAGCAGAGATTGCAAAGATGGCTTAAAGCTACCTTTGACCCATTCTGCCCTCCTCCCCATCCCTCCATCTGCTCCTCTGCAAAGCAGTTTGGGGAAGCCAAGGGATCTGGCCCAGGAGTTTAAAGCCGACAGCGTCCTTTGAACTCTGACTTTATCATTACGCCACCATTGTCCTGGCAGGTCTGCCTTTAAAGGAACCAGCCTTCCAGATGTAAGCACCAGAATCTTATTGCTCTCGGTCCTTACGGCGGCCCAGACTCCACCCAATGCCCACAAAATAAAACAAGGGAATCCTCTGTGCTTTTAATCACTCCAGATGTTCCAGCTGCACCAATGAAAAGGCAGCTCTGGGGCCATTCATTTCACCTGGCATCACAGCTGCTTCTTAGCCCTCCCGGCTCCCTTCCCCTCTCCAGCCCCTTTGATACCTCTGTAGGGAAATCAACTGAAAACAGGTGTCTAGGACTAATTACACCACACTGTTTAAAAACAAAACCAAACTGTCCTGATTCCACTTACGAGGGGGATGGGGAGGCATCTGTTAATCAAAAACTCAACTCTATTCATAACAAAAAGAGGCATTTGGGATGGCCTTGCATTAAAGAGACGAGAGCGCTTGGTTCTGTGCCAGCTACAGCACAGCCTGCGGAGAGTGCCCGTGAGCACGAGCGTGTTCCTGGGCGTGCGTGAGTGTGTGCATGTGAAATGAGAGGAGTCTCTTCGGTTGGTTTATTGCACGCATCATTCCCTTCCTGTGCCGTTTCTGCAGAACTTGGGAGGAACGTCAGCAACTTGTTTTCCCTCTAGGAGCACGGAAATAGACCCAGTTTTTCATTCAGAATGACAGCCCAATTATACCGCCTCCTTAATTCATAAATTCCAGGGCACACGCACATCAGGAGAGCTGGCTCATCTCTCGGGCGGGTGGGGATTAGCAGTCATCAGCAAGCATTACAGAGCTTCCTGACGCAGGGGAAGTAACAACCGGTAACAGGGAGACACAAAGAGAACTGCTTTGCTTTAGGCATTGAAAAACCTTTATAAAAAACACAGGCCACCACTGTGCTTTTGTCATGTTAATCTCTTAATGGGGTTATGGTAATCTGCGTGGCAACAATCAGCCTGGGACGTGCTGGTGGAGTCTTCTACCGGGCGGTCTTCTACTGTGCTACATAGACAAGGACGGATGGTCCAGTGGCTAGAGCACTAGCCTAAGATTTATTAGACCTCAGTTCAATTCCCTGCTCTGCCACAGACATCCTGTGTGACCTTGGGCACCTCACTTAGCCTCCCGGTGCTCATCTGTAACATGAATAATAGCCATCTCTGCAGGGAGGATATGTACATTAAAGACTGCCATGTGTCCTGATACTACAGTAACAAGGGCCAGATCCCTACTGTGGAAGCTAGGACTTCCCTAGAATAGTAGTGCACGCAGCGGCAACCAAATATGAGTCTCTTCCCCTCAATCAACTGCGGGAAGCGAGCCGCCCAGAGCCCTCTCTTACGTCTGCCTGAGCCCAGGCACAAGGAGCAGAGTAACACTCAGTGCAATGCAGCAGGTTAGGTCACAAAACAGCAGGGAGCGGTGTTCCCAAGTCTGCCACCGGCGCAGAGCTGCCCTATCGCATCAACACACAAAGCTTCGGGTTGGTTTTCAAGCTACAACGAGAAATCTCGGTACTGCAGCTTTATTTTGGGACACACGCACTGCAGAGAAGCAAATCCCTTCCTGAGACTCAGGGTGGAAATATCCAAGCGCTGAATTCGGCCTTCGCAGATTTAGAACCAGAACACAATAGTATTTAACATTTCCCACCATTGCACTACCCGCAGCGGTGCTCCAGCAGCATTACCACAGGGGGACTCTCGCTGGGAGGAAAGAGAGCCTTGTGATTACAATGCACAGGATTGAGGACCTGGGATCAATTGCCAGCTCTGCCACCCACTTCTTGAGTGACCCTGGGCAAGTCACTTAATTTCTCTGTGCCTCATTTCCCCATCTATATAACGGGGATAAAAATACTTCCCTTTACCTTACCCCTTGTCTGTCTTCTCTGTTTAGATTGTAAGCACCGGGTGGGTAGGGAGCGGCTCTTACCAGGTGTGCACACAGCAGAGCACAATGGATCCCTGGTCTTGGTTTGGGCCTCTTGGTGCTAATGCAGTATAAATAAGAACAGCGCAGGGGGCCAGCAAGCTGTCTGGGGGAAGTCTAGGCGACATGTTGGTTAAAGCGCTAGCAGTTGCCTGTGCCTTATGTACAGTAGCTGCTGCAATTGCTGACGTCCGTGGACGCCTGGGTCCGCCATTACAGGGAAGTGCGGGTGCTCTGACAGACATACAGCTCCACCAGCGCCAGGCCACCTTACCTGTTTCTTTTTCAGCTTGGAGATCTGCTGTTCCACCATGGTAATCTCCCGATCCACTCGGTCCATGTTCTGGATCAGCTCCTCCTTCGAGAGCCTGGAGGGTAACAGATCCAGCTCCGAGTCAGGGTGGGCGGGGCTGACCGGAGACACGGGTCCCAGCTTGCCCGTCAGGCTTCGCTCCTGTGGAGAGTAAGAACAATCCAATTAGCAATTTCTCTGGAGAATTCAGCACCTTTCCCTCTCACGCTCTCATCACACGCTGCAGATGCGCACTTCCCTGGTCGCCTTCCAGCCCTTTAACATGGACACTTCGAAGAACGCTGGCCGCATCACCTGGACACTCGACAAACTCCCTGGCTCCCCCTCATCTTTATGGTCACCTATGCTACTGGTCCAAGCAAGGCCACTCACTTTGGGACCATACGCTCCTACAGCAGTCACTCCCCACAGAAACCATAAAACCATCAACTTCACGAGTTAAACTCCTGATGGCAGGGGACAAAGCTTTACTGACAACTGGTTCCAGACTGCCACAAAACTTAACACGACAATAGCCCCAACAGCTAAATTGAGGAAGAGAGACTGTCACACGCACGCACTTTGTTCTAAAAGAATTCCGGAAGCCTCCCGAAGAGAGAGAGAAATCTAGTCCACCTGGGGGTTGGGGACTTTCAGGCTCTTGTTAATTTGGGGAGGAGCTCAGATACAAGGGTGGTGGGTGCCAGATAAATAAGGGCAGGTCTTCACTACAGGGGGGGGGGGTCGATTTAAGATATGCAAATTCAGCTACACGAATAGCGTAGCTGAATTCGACGTATCGCAGCCGACTTACCCCGCTGTAGGGACAGCGGCAAAATCGACCTCTGCAGCTTCCCATCGACGGCGCTTACTCCCACCTTCGCTGGTGGAGTAAGAGCGTCGATTCGGGGATCGATTGTCGCGTCCTGATGGGACCCGATATATCGATCCCCGAGAGGTCGATTTCTACCCGCCAATTCAGGTGGGTAGTGTAGACCTAGCCTAAGAAAAAAGAGACGCTGTATATGAGACTAGGTTAGATAAAATAGGCAGACCAATGTCTGTCTACAGGCTCTAAAGCAAACAGTACTGGAGGAAGTGCTCTTCAAAAAAGAAACTTCATGGAACAATGCAACCTAACAGAGTTTATAATAATTAATGGAGATATCCCATCTCCTAGAGCTGGAAGGGACCTTGAAAGGTCATCGAGTCCAGCCCCCTGCCTTCACTAGCAGGACCAAGTACTGATTTTGCCCCAGATCCCTAAGTGGCCCCCTCAAGGATTGAACTCACAACCCTGGGTTTAGCAGGCCAATGCTCAAACCACTGAGCTATCCCTCCCCCCTAATAGCTCTCATTAGGATAGGTTTCAGAGTAGCGGCCGTGTTAGTCTGTATCCGCAAAAAGAACAGGAGTACTTGTGGCACCTTAGAGACTAACAAATTTATTAGAGCATAAGCTTTTGTGGGCTACAGCCCACTTCTTCGGATGCATAGCCCCATTAGGATGGCGTTTGCTGGGGCGGGAGGGGGAACCACTCTGGGGAAAAGATCAAAATGTTCAGCACTTTTGATTTCTCCCAAGCAAAGCAATGGTTTAGCTGCTACTAATTAGCCAATATCTCCAGACCGTCTTAGAACAATAATCCTGCTTTTGTACAATGCCCTTCACTGCAAAGTATAACTACTGATATACAAACTTGGCAAAGAGCTCTGTTCACCCACCACTGAAATGAAGCAACCTCTGGGCTGAAGCCCCGCAGCTGATTAACATCGCATGGCAATGTGAGAAGTAGTTTAGGACTGGACGTGAGCTCCAGCTCATCCCAACGCCAGTAGAGCTCGGCAAAGAGGATTCTGCCTAGCTCTTAACTGTAACATCTGCTTGCACACAACCTCCTCTTTCACATGCATCGGAGCCCAGAAACCTTGAGCGCCTTGCACCTCTAGCAAGGACTTGAATATCAAGGTCTGAAACAGCCAGGGGAATTTCAACAGGCAAGAGACAGCTTCATCCAAACTGGCAGGACACTGAAGTTAACGCTCGTGCCTTTATAAAGAGCATCAATCGGATCTGTAAGGACCCATCAGGCTCTCAATTTTATGGGGCACTGCTTCCATGCTGATTCAGCACATCCCCATAGTTCCTTACGGTCTCCTGCCCAAGTGCTGACCCAGCCCTGACCCTGTTTTGCTGCGAGATCCGACAGGGTCCCAGTACGACAGCCTATTCTGACCTAATGCATTCCACTCACATTCGGCAGCTACAGGACATTGTAATTTAATTTATCTGTTCAGTTATTTTGCGATGGGATGGGATGGGTTCCCCCCTCCCAGGATGGAAACAGGGGAGATAAAAATGACGGTTTAGTTTGTAACAAACCACAGACTCAATAACCACCCCACAGCTGCTCTGAGGGGGGGGGGGGGAAGCAAACAAGCAACAAAGTTCACCCAACTTTGCACCTTTATTACAGCAGCCTCACAACTGGAGACAAGGCTGCCATTGTTCTCCAGCACCAACTGGTGCTTTTCATTCCTTCCAGAAGGGCTCCCTTTCTCTCTGACTCACGGGCTGTGGATGACTGCCAGGCTAACTTCCCGCCTGGACCAGCGACAGGTGGGCTATTCATTAACTTACCACTTGTACTTGGGGGTTGTTTCCTCCTTTGGGAGGCACGGGGCGACGTGAAATCAGACCGCAGCTAACTGGGGCCAACAATACGACACAAGAATGTTCTGCTGCCTTGGTTAAAGAGGCAGGCGTCCGCACAGTTAAGCGCTATGAATTGTTCTGGCCCTGACATCATTACCCATGATGAAACCTTCTGGGATTGATGTGGGCGTAATAAAAGATACCACCTTAATGACACTCTAGCTCATCACTGAATTAATAACTGCTTCCTGGGAAGTGCAGCTGCAGCACGTAACCTCCACCCCTGCTTTTTGAACTCCTAAGGCAGCCTTAGAAATGGTGTGTGCATCACAATACCACATCTTAACCCTTGCCTTGCTCCCCACTCAAGCCCGTCCATGGACAGCTTTGATACAATTCAAGGGATTTTCACCATTTTGCAAATGAAGCTTCATGCTGCTTCCAGTCAAGTTTCACTCAATTATAAGCAGGTTTCACTGTGCTAGCCTCCCAGAAAGCAACGCTTGTTGACTCCTCAATGGGTATTCAGTGCCGCAGTCAAAGGGAACCATCATCTTCTTTTGCTCAGCCAGAGCAGAGGACTGAAAGGGGAAGAAGTTGCAGCAAAGGATGGGGAGGAGATTTCTGCCCAGGCCCCATTCCAGCCACTGGAAAGAACTGAGAAAGGACAGTCAATGCTCTTCACAAGTGTCTTCTTCTCCTGGCATTCTTGCCTGCCAGTGGCTGTCCCAGAGCTTCTGACCCCAGAGCCACAAGGGCTACTGAATAATGTTCTTTTCTTTGCCCTCACCTCCACCTCCTCCCCCCCGTTATAAAACTCTGCTAAGAGACAAGGAGTTTGTGGATCAAAAGAGATATACAATTCCAAGACTGGACTCACAGAAGCCAAACACCCAGGAGGGTCTCTCTTCAAATGGCTTTATTCCAGTAAGACTGGTAGATTTAAAGGCACGTTGGGTTGTCAATGCCGCTCCTGCTTCTGCCATCGTGAAGATAAAGCATAGTAGCAATCTGAATATTAATATCCTTTCCCCACCACATTCCTTACTATCACAGGATGGTTTTTTTCCCATTTCTTAGCATGAGGAGATACCACAAAGGCACCTGAAGAAGTTGACTCCAAACGTCCCTCCAAAAACCAAGCTACAAGAGCATTAAACACAAACTGAGAAGGCAAAACAGTGGATTTCTGTCTCACTCGACTTACACTGGGATAAGATGGTCAAAGTGCTCAATTACCTGCCAACCACAACCGGATAGCCGAGGCCTGGCTTTCCTCATGGGCAACTGCTAAACCTTCCCCATGCTGTCAATTTTCAAAGCCAGAGGAAGCAGAAGATAGATTTTTAGGCATGCGATACGTGGTTTGCTCAAGCCTATGGGACAGCAGGAGTGGGAAGAAAATTGTGTGCTGATGGTGTGTGGGTGAGCAAATCAGCAGAAGTCATTTCAGTCCCCAATTTCAGAGATCAAGAGATCGAGAGAGAGAGAGAGAATCTAACTATAAGTACAAAACAACAAAGTGAAACTGGCCCGCATTGGGCAATATACGAAATGTAAGGAACTTTTAAAAGATCAAAGCCCTTTTTGTAAAACCTTCGGAGATGCTGTTTCTGCTGCCCAGTCACATTTCCAGGTTACAGATTCTGAAACAGAAGCGACGGTATAGTGGAGCAGAAAGAATGGCAGAGCGCTACCTTACATAAAAGTACCATCATCTCGCACAACGTCAGCAGCGCTCAGAGGCTCTTTCAAAAGGGATAACTGCCATTTTCACAGACACATGTGTATCGACAGAGAGAGACAGGCAACAAGGACGCGGGAGAAAGGAAATGAATGAAAAAGCTTCTGGGAAAACTCGCACCTGATAATGAGGTTCGGGGAGCAGCACTCCCGCTTTTACAAAGAAGCCCTTTTTCCTAAGCACAAAAACCAGGTGCATATGAAAAGACGGTGACACAGCTGCCTGTCACAGTCAACTTGCAAAGGCTGGACTTTCAAAGAAGGTTAAGTAACAGCAAGCTGTGGGCACTTGAATCCCCGACGTGTACACCAACCTCCTCCATTAGCGCTCTTCCTGGGAAAGGATGTCTGATTGCCTCCGGGGGTGAAGAGCGCCGTGCATGAGTGTTCGCAGATTATGAATTTAAAATACTCTTGTGTTTGACTCAGTCAAGTAACGAGGGCCTAGTGCTCTTTTGATGCAGCAGATATTGCTGGGAGCAATCCTGTGCTGTCAGAGGCCTGGACTGGGTGACCTAATCGGTCTGTTCCATCTCCAATTCCCATGACAGAATACATAAGGAGATGTTCAGTGGAGCTTACAACAGCACGCCTTACACACAGTGATTGCTATGTCACCGGAACATCCAGTTCTTCTACTGTTGGTTCTTTGTCGCTGTGAGAAGCTGCCTGTTCTTTTGCACAAGTGCCGATATCTTGGCATCAAATGTGTCATAAGCATGTCTAAAAAACCTGGCTGTTTGGAATGCTCTAAAGAGACAGGG